CTTTCACTGGCGAATTGTCATCGACCGAAGTGTCTCGCCTGCGTTCCGGCAACTTTGTGACGCATTCACGTTTGAATCGGTGATACCTGACACGCGTTGTATTCCGACCATCTCATCACGAGTTATTTTAGTTTCTTTGTTCTGAGCAATACAATCTGCAATAGACGCCAGGAAGAGCTGATTCTAGAGCGACAAATAAACTATTGAATCTTGTTTTAACGCGTACTACAAGGGGACATTCTAAGACAAATTTCCTTTGTGGAATGGGAAGGGCGAATCGGAGTGGAATTTTCCAAGAACTGTCCGGGAAATGGAGGTTACGGAAGCCGGTGTGAATGGATCGACAAAGAAGGTTATGAAGCTACTTTATCCAGAAAGACAACAAAAAATTCCTTTGTCGAAATTCGTTTTGAATAAATACTCCTTTAAAATTTTAGAACAAACTATCTATTTTGAATAATAAGTTATTCAAAATATTCTTAGGAGTTTCCACATACACCAAGAACTATTTTATAAAGAAAATAGAGTACGTATATTGAGTGTACAATGAGAGCAGTAAATAAAAATATGAGAAATGTAAATTAATCCGTATAGACTTAATTTAGGGAATATATTATATTCCCTATATAAACTATAAAGGAAGAAATAAGAAAATATTCCGGTATTATAATAAAATCATGTCAAACTCATGTTAACGGCATCAATTAAATAGAGAATAATCCTGAAAAGTAATATATTCGACATAAGAGGAAACTCGGAGAATTCGAAAATAAAAACTCTAAATTTCCAATCAGTGGAAGTAATAAGCACAGACATATTTTAGACAAATTGTTCTGGGTCACGCACGAAACATCGTGTTTGGAAAAGTGTTATTTCAATCGAAGAATGTGATAAAAAATAATTACAGTGTGTTATAATTGCATACACCCACACCTCAGGAGAAACCACTCGTAAGTTGGAAACCGAACTCCCGAATATTGAGTGGCAACATATGTCTTTATATGTAGACTTCTCGTGCCACATTTCAGAAGGACCTTGGTTGAAGGTCGCGTTTCGTAACTCAAAGAAACGTGAAAGATAACCTTGTTTTATGGTAGTGTTTTTATGACGGCAATCATAGAGAACATTTGAAGCGGCAACTGATTTTGGTCTGCACGACATCAGAGTTTCTACTGATTCAAAATGTAACAGTGCATTTGTAGACGCTGGGAAATTCAATTTTTTCAAAATAACTGAAATTTTGTACATGCTGAATACGAAATAGAAATGCAAACGAGCAAATTTTGATTTTAACATGTTAATATTGTTAAATTCAAATAAATAAATCAACAGAAGTGAGTTTTCACATAAATTATTTTTTTCGAGTTTTCCAAAGATTTTTAACATTGATGAATAATTAATTTCATTATCCACGAATTCCTTCTTACAATGTATTCCTTTTTGATACAAATTAACTGACAAAAAGTTTAAAAAAACAACAACTTGCTTCGTTCCAAAACTATTCAGTTCTATGTTACTAACCGTTTCTAGAAAGCAGTAAATTTGTAATTTTCCATCACCAAGATTATAGACTCTACTCTTTAATTATTAGCCATTTGCATAATACCTTATCTTATTATAGGCAATTAAAATAATCCTCCAGAAGCCGTAGTCGACCTAATACAGTTAGCTATTTGAACTATCATCGGCGTTATGAGGTGATTAGATGGAATGGCAGGCCTCAAGCCAGTTTTCCTTTCGAAACGTCAGAAACAGTTGAATCACATCACCCTCTGAAGAATGCTAGAGACTCTCGAACACACCGAGATCGAGAATGAAAAGGTATTTTTCTTTCCAAACAATAAGTTTTTCATCGTATGAGTGTCTTCTTACGCAGGTGAGCTTACAACGGTATTTTAAAAATAATGCATATGCTCGACAATACTTTAGATGTTGCATCGACCACGCGGTCGAACTGGGTAAAACCAGGTTTTGCTGGTACAGATTATGAGCGAAACGTGAGGTATGGTATGAAAGATGATGCATATAACAAGAAGTTAGTAAAAGATGATAAGTATAATAGGGGAACAAATATTCTTCAATTAAATAATACTGTTCATTTGATGCCTCGATAAGAATCGGAGCACTTCCATAGCTTTTGAACGTTGTTTACTATCACTATGCAAATATTCGGAAATGAAGAGAAATACCTCTGACTCATCCAGAATAGGAGGAGCCTTTCTCGAAAATTAAAATTTTTTAATAATATTAATCCACAAAGTTGATCTAGTGTTACTCCAATCCCCTATGTTGATCAAATAAACCCCGTAAAACTATCGATCAGAACATCCGGCCGCTAGAATTCGACCTAGCTATGTTGCTGGTATCGAAAATCCTGCCATCGCCGGGACACGAACCCCCAGGACCTGCCGGTCTGTCGAGCGCCGAGCCTAGTCGCGTGCCAGAGGGCGCTGAGTGACCGGGAAGTGGCGAACGGCCAGCGGGCGAGCGTGTCAAGTTCAGCACTGGCCGCCAGCGCCAGCGCCACCGCCACCACCGCCGCCACTAGCACCACCGCCACCGCCAACGCCAACACGAACGCCAATGCAAACGATAGCAGCCCCACCACCAACAACAACAACGACAACGACAACGATGACAACGACAACGACAATGACAACGACGACAACGACGACAACAACGACAACGACGAGAACAACGACAACGACAACGATGACAACGACGACGACAACGACGACAACAACGACGACAACGACGACGACAACGACGACAACGGACAAGACGACGACAACGATGAAGACGTACGGACAAGATGGACAAGAAAGAAACGAAACGCTAAACTCAACGACAACGACAACGAAACAACGAACAGACACCGACAACGAGAAACGAAAAAAGCAACGAAGCACGAAACAACGACACGACGAAAAACTACACAGACGACAACGAAAGACAACGACGACGAACGACAGAAACGAACGGAGCCACGCACACGACACAGACGACCGACCACGACCGACGACAAACGACCGACACGCGACACGACAACGAACGACAGGACTAACGGACACGACGCAACGACATCATACGACGACAGACGCACAGACGAACTGAGCACGCACACGAGACAACCGACGAGACACGCTCAGCTTCCGCGTCGACCACGCGCGTGCATCGCTATGTCATGCAGTCGCTCGGGGGCCGCGCGCCGCAGCCATTCCGCCCGGCGCGGCTGCTGGCGGCGCCACGCGCGCGACGGCCACGGGGACGGATGAAAGCACGGGCTAGACGGGGCAACGAAAGGCCGTTGGGTGAGAGGGATAGAACGGAGACGGGAGTGAGTGGTGAAAGGAGGAGGCGAGGAGCAAGGTGTACGGAGACACGGAAGGCTGGGCGCTAAGATGGAAAACCAGACGGGGACGGGGTGAGGATGTCTAAGAGGCAAAGAGAGGAGATAGTAGACGAGGTGGCGGGGGCGGGGCCGGGGGCGAGCTGCGAGGCGGTGTGGTGGCGGCGGGGCGAGGCGATGAGAGGAGGCAACAGAGTGAAGCAGTTGGCCGAGGTGGGCGGTACGAAATGTGTCTCACGTGCAAGGAGGAGGCAGGGGGTAGAAGGACGGGAGGGGAGCGGCCTCAGACGCGGGTGGCCGTGTGCGAGACCAAGAAATGAACAGGGTCGGTCGAGAACTAGGGCTGCGTTGGGAACGCTTGTGTGGAGGAAGCAGAAACGTGGGATGAGATAGAGAAAGCTTCGATAATACGGGCGGGATGGTGTGAGCAGGAAGAAGTTGCGACTGGGACGGTGGGATGAATAAGCAAAGCGCAGAGGAGCAGGAGCGGGGATGAAGTACAGGGGACAGTGATAAAGATTGAGACGTGGGTGGTGATGAAGCGGAGGACGGACACAGGGGTGAGGCGGAAGTGGTTACGTGTACAGAGCTGGGAGGTGGGCAAGAGCAGGGGTGGGAGCGTGGACAAAATCAGAACATAGGGTGGGCAGAGATGGAGCGGGGAAGCGGAAAATGGATGGAGTCGGAGACGGCGAAAGGTATGAGATTTGCCTCCTTTGTATTCGTAATGCATTTTGTAATCGATGAGCGTCATGTTAGCGGAAACCAGTCTGGCAATTGCATCACTATGATGGCTAAGTGGAGTGGGGTGAGGAATCTAGCTCCGAACTCCGCTGAGTTTACAAGGTTTTTTCACAAGTAAATGGAATAAAATATTGCGAAAGAACATAATTGTATGCTATTCCACAAGCAAAGGTAACTGTGATTCAAACTATAAGTTTTGTCACCAGTTATTCCAAATACAGTATTTCTAATAAGCCACACTGTCAAGCCAAATGTTTACTTCCTGTGAAACAAATTGGCAAGTAAAAGGAAGAAAATAGGCAATTTGAATATGTCGGAGAAATCAAAATTTTCCACAATCATTATTAATGTTCATCAATTTATCAATGTTATTATCCGGTATCAATTCATAATATATTGAACGTGAAAGTAGATATTGCAATATTTGAGTATTTTTCGCGAACACTTCATGAAAAACATAAGATAATGTCTGTAAAATTATATCTCCATTTTTAGTAGACATCGCCAGTTAATCAGAAGTAGATATTTCAAGTCTTGAAAATAAGTTTTACTGGAGTAATTGTTTTATAAATTTCATTGAAAGGTTAAAACTGCAATAATCATACTGAGCTATGTTGCAATAAATTATTAACATTGTTGATAATGTGAGGTTGATACCTTATACTAATTTGAGAAAAATAATATGTTTATCATATGGTTAATATAATGTTAAAATAATATTGTTATAATATGTTATTCATTTAAATTCTCCAGATATTTTCGGTCGCGTAGCCATCCTCATCAAAACAACTCTTGCAACGTCTTGCAAGGTCTGAACTTAATTTTCCACATGATTCCAATGAATTGACACTTCCAATGGGTCCCATTCAAAAAAGGTCAACGAGCTTCAAATACGTCAAACGCACCGTCATCGCATGGCACGTTGCTCTGAGACAAGCGGGCACTTCGGTCTCACCTGAAAGAGGCCTGTTTCATCCCAGGACACTTTCACCAGGCTCGCAAAAAGCTCGAATATTAAACACACGCCCCGACGTCTCATTCATGCCGTGAATGGAATTTGCTTTGGTTGTCCACTTCGCTAATGTTCCTTGTCCTCTTCACTCTCTCAGGTGGAGGCGGCGCGAGGGCGCTCGACGCGCAAGGTCGCAGGAACACGTAATGGCGGGCGCCGAAATGACATCACGACGACCTTGAACCAGCGCAGTGATGCTTTTCGCAAGGCGGCTCGCATCCACCGAACTCGGAGAAGATGGAAGCTTCGTGTCGGTTTCGTCCAGTCATACCTGGTTAAAAAGTAGACCTCGGTGGACAAGAAATGTGACTTTTTACAGAAAATCTCCTTATTTTTAATTGTGCGGAGAAACAACGCATATATCCTAGTAAAACCTTCATAGGAATAGTCCACAAAAAAGTGGTTGTTACTTTCTACTACTCGTTCACTAAATATGCTGATGCAGATGGAAGTACTGCCTCTGTTTGTTTACATCATCAGGTGCCATGTACTAAATCTGTACATACAGTGCATATTCCAATGATGAGTTGGGTCCAGTTGCTCAACGTAGAGTATGAAAGGAAAAATTAATTAATAATGAATTTTTTTACAATTTCCAGGGGTGATTGGTATGTGATTTCAACACAATAGTGCTAAACAACGTTATTTTGTCTCTTTCGTGGCTGCTTCCTATTCTACATGCAGGTATGCCGGATCAATTTTCAATGAGGGGATGATGTAGGTTGTGTTAAATTAGATGTCAAATCCTGCAAAAACAATTGTATGAGAGCACAAATCAAAGTTTAGCACGCTCACGTCGATGGAGGTCTTTTAATAAGGTAGCTTTTTATCGTGTTTGCCCGTTTTGTTTATTTTTGTAATTGAAAGACAATCTTGTCGTATAATGAGTCTTATCCGAGTGTTCGTTGGCATGACGAGAAGGTTGGTTGCCGGGGGGGGGGGAGTAATAACATTTGCACGACTGAATGTTCCTTTCTTATAATTACGTTACATAAAAGTAATTGAACAACTCGTTTTAATAATAAAATTGAGCGTTATTCTGCAATGTGTAACCACTGAGACTGTATTTAAACCAATAAATTTGTAATTTTATCTCAAAGTAGATTTTGCTTTCTCATATGTAGTACTATATTTAGTTATACTTCTGACTTCGTTGAATAGCTGATTCGTCATGCTAAAAAATAGATTTAATGCCCCCTATCATTCGCTGTTTAGTATAATAATATATTTAATATTCCTTGTGGTTCCTGAATATAAGACGCAAGTTATTACATGGTATTACAATTACATGGTATTATGCATTAGCGTGCGTAATTACAGAAATAATATTAACGTATATTATGTGCATAGGAATGTCAATATTGCCATTTGCAGCAGGTACGAGCGTGATCTCACAGCGTTAGTAAAGAATGGCACGTTTCTCCAACATGAAAGGTGACTGGCGGTATGAACAGCCTTAGAAGTGCGTGGCCTTTTTCGTCCGGTGTCCCGGAAGCGCGTATCATTTGCTGAAAACAAAACGCACCGTGTGCTTTCAAGACGAACGCATCTGCGCCGGAACTGGGCTTCCGCGGTGGCGTGGGGCGAAGGGCGCGGGCGATGGGCGATGGAGGGAGCGCCGCGCACGAGCGCCCGCGGGCGGGCGGCGGGGCGCGTCGACGCGTGGGCGATGGCATGGATGCGGGCGGGGTAGCGGGAGAGGGGAGGAAGGACACCTATTCGGCGCGTGTCGCCCACTGCCCCCGGCACGTCACGTGCCTCGTGAAGCACCCATTGCTGCCCCTGGCGCCATTCAAGCAGGGCCTCAGAAAATTTAAAGGCATTTAAAATTAAACGAGACATTTAAAAAAGAAAGTTAAGGAAATTAGTTATTAATTGAATGTATTTCTTCTGATAAGTAATTTATTGAATACCATGAATGAATATATATCTAATGTATGTGTGAGTGTGCGTGTGTGTGTGTTCTCCTGGAAAATTAGAATATTTAAAATATGTCACTTTCCTTGCTTTCATTATTATTCCCTTTTTAATTTCTGCTTGTTTATGAATTAAATGTCTCAAGTCATATCACGTATATTATAGTCAAGGATGGTCGAAAAACTGTCGTGGTAGTTTCCACTTTGATCTATTGTGGTGAGGATTTTTTTTTCTTCCGATTTTAAAATGTACGACTCAGAGGTTCTGGCGGATATTTCGAGGTGATACCGAGTTCGGTATGTAACTGGGTCTTAGGTACAAACCACGCATTTGCAATGTTCAGAGGAACTCATTTTGGAAAATCTTTATTTTTCTGATATTTGATATTTTAGCCGAGACCCAAGCAGGAGAAGCATAGGAGAGTAATGGATAGATCATGTATTGTTCGTCGATACTGGAGTAGCAATCTGCAGTCGCATGGTGATGACGTTTTTATTAAGGGATGTAATGGGTAAGTTTTGAGGGTGGCCAGAGTTATTCGGAGAATGATAATTGATATTTGGCGAGTCTTGTGCCAAATAGTATTCCAAGATATTTGACTGGCTTGTTGTTTGGGATCCAAGTAATACTTTGGCCTTGATACTTAAAAGGGGGTTCTTTCCTTGTGCAACAATGATTTATCCTCTTATATCTCGACGTGTCTCCTCCCTCCAACTTGCTCGCTGTGTTCACTTCCGCTCTTCCTCCTTCCCCGATCGCAGAGGCCTCTTCTCATTGCACCCCTCCCTCTGGTCAGCTGCATGCTTCGCTGCAAGTCTGCCTGCTCCCTCCCGGCCAACTTCTTCACTCCGCCTGCCTGCTCTCTGCCCGCCACAGCTCCGCCCCGCCCCTGCCCTGCCCACCCTCTCGCCCGCCCCGCGCCTTCCCACGTCGTCCGGCTCGCCTCGCCCACGCCGTCGCCCAGCCACGCCCAAGTCCCTGCGCCTCACCACCCTCGCCTCCATCCAGCCTCGCCTGCTCTGCCCCCGCCCCGCCCCGCTCCTGCCCTCACACCCCGCCCTCCTGCCTCGCCCCGTCTCAACCGCGTCCGTCACACCGCCCCCGCCGGCCGCGCTCGCCGTCTGCCGCCACGGCCGCCGCGCTGGCTCAGGCGCCGGGAGGGGGCGGTGGCTCCCCAGGACCGGGGCGTGGCTGGGAACCGCAGCGTGGCGGCGCGGAAGCGTGCGACCAAACGACCTAAGCGCTGCCCCCACTGCGCCGCGCTTTTAACGCACGAGGAAGGAGGGCGAAGCAGTCAGTTGTCATGCGGTTGAAGTAGTTCCCATCTGCGAAATTGAATTCGGATTCGGAGAAGTATTTCGCTTAGTAATACACAATTAGTAATTAACAAAGCCCCGCGATCCGTCCAGTTTAAACAGTTTTATTTGCCAATACAATTGATTTATATAATTATACACAATATCATTAAATACAATATCTAGCTCCAAATTTTTCTTCACACTGCTTTCGTCATTTCCCTCCAGGAGGACACCAATTTCCAATAGATTTCATATGAATATGGATCACGTTGCCTGTTCCATTAAGCATTCGTTCAGACTGTTTTTGTTCCCATGGTATGTATAATGATTCCTCTGAACAATTTTGAATTTAACACAATTGTCAAGAGTTCCAATGTTTTAGAAATGTGAAGGTACTAAAGAACATTTAGGGAAGCACGAGTCATTTTTTTAATTGCATGATTTTTTGAATTACCATAGCAAATGAAAAAAGTAAAGGACAGAAAATTCTCGATTCCTTTAATTCTAAACAAATGAGTTTCTAGGACTGTGAATTTTTTGACAAAATTCTTTGGACCCACACGACAACATCGCTTTTCAGATCCTTTCATTCTCCCTGTTCTACTTTCGTATTTTGATATTTTAAATTTGTATTAGTCATATTCATAACTCGTCTCATCTCTAAATAATTATGAAAATACTCAGCCCATAAAGAAGCTACTAAAATTCTCAAACAATGTATTAGAGACATGAAACTTGCTTTTTTCTCTAGAAGATCATTTATTACAAATGTTAAACACATTACACAATATTATGTTGGTAGACCGAGAATAAAAATCCATTATAAACTCCTGTACAGTTCTTAAGTATTGACTGTCAGTATTCACTCCTTCACATCAAAGCCGAAGAGAAGAGACGGAATGAATCGAGGAAAAACCCTTTGAAGGGAAATATCTGCCATCAAGTGATGAACACACTTTAATCACATCAAATCTTTCTAAAATAACCAAGAAGCGATCATCACTTGTGCCCTCTTTCCATTATTCGAAAGACAGCGCCTGAAACGAGACAATGCCACAGAAGCCCTGCATCTCCGCTTCACTTACCATACACACATGCCATTTACTACACCCATTTCGTGTTAATTTGGACGTTCGTCGGTCGGTCTAGACTCCGCTCTAAATGAAGACGTAGGCTTCCGCGGTCGGAGTTATGTAAATGATCTTGGCTGTCCGTGTGACGCCGCGTCGAAGGCTGTGTTACCGACGTTTCGACCATCTGACCTCTCCCGATATTGATGTGTGGCCTTCTGATTGGCTGGCTGTTTCAGCCAAACGTCCCCCAATGTACACACATACACACGCGTCACCCACATATACACGCGAACGCTGAACACTGCAGCGCGGATCAGCCCTGAAGAAGACCACGATAGATGGTGTAAACGTCGGCAACAAAGCCTTCGACGTGGCGTCACCCGGACAGCCAAGATCATTTACTAGACTCCGCTCTGCTTACAAGAACCTAAGCGAGCGCGAGCGGCCCTCGGGAGAAAGGCGGTCGGGCGGGCGGCGGCGGGGCGCGGAGCCGGGCGGGGCGTGGAGCCGAAAGGAGCAGCTCCTCACGGCACGCCCAAGCAGCAGGGGCAGACCGCCCGGCCGCGAGACGGGATCCGCGCGGCACAGAGCCCTCGGCTGACGCACGCACGTTTCGATTTAAATTTCGATTTATTCAGTCAAAAAACCGTAAAACCTGTATGTGATGTAGGGGATTATCTGATTAGGGGGAAAACATTATCACGTTCTTCTAAGCACGATGTACACATATTCGTTACTTGAAATTTTCGAGGAATTCGAGAATATCTTGGGGTTTAGATTACAGACGATTTTGAATTTGGGTTCAACAAAATTTACGATTCGGTTTCGGAGAAAATTAGGAATCAGGTTCGGGAAAATTTAGGATTCAGGTTTGGAAAAATAATTGGATTCAGGTTCGGGGAAATTGAGGATTCCGATTCGTGACCATTTAGGATTCCGATTCGAAACCATTTAGGATTCCGGTTCGAGACAATTTAAGATTCCAATTCAAGAGAATTTAGGATTCGGATTCCAGACAATTTAGGATTTGAGTTTGGTTAAATTTAAGCTTGGTATCTCTTGAAAGATAAAGATTGAAACACTCTGCACATAAGCCGCGCAGCAATAACTAAAGTTCCTCTCGACCTGAAGCGAAACCATCTTCCGGCGGCTTGAAAATGGATATAAGAGAAATGCGGCCGGCTGGTAGCAGGGCGTGGCACACTCAAGTGACGTCGCGGACTGCAGTGAGATCTATCTCTAGGATATTCAAAGATCCCAAATTAAAAATGTTTCGATGATTGCGAATCGTTTTGAATTCCGGTTCGAGAAAACTTAGAATTCGGGACCGATATAATTTTGAATTAAGGCATGAGACATTTTAAATTTCTATGCGTGTAAATGTAAAACGCTTCCCTCTAGTTTTACGAAACTGTTAGAAACACGACGCACGAAACAATTAACTGAACTGCCTGTCGCCGTGAACGGCGATGGTCTTGAGGAGACACGCCGCTGGGAGCAGGGAAAAGCGGCGTGGAGTGGTACGCCGTGGCACGCCCGAGCGACGTCGCCTCGGCCACGAGATGTGTTCCGCAGTCGGCGCAGGATTATCGGCTTACGCAAGCGCGTTCTCCTGCCAGCTACCTCCGCAGGATACACGAGACACGCAACGGCCTGGAAAGTTTAACGCGACATCAAGGAATATTGTAGATGCATGGTAATGCCCGGGGGAAAGCGTTATAAAAGTTCAAATACCTGGCCGAAGGAGTGGAAATGGAATAACTTTGTAATTCATCGTGTCAAAAAAAAAGAGTTAAAGCAACGTTCTTGTTTTCTCTACTAACCTAGTGATGGGATTAAAGAAATAGGCGACAGACGATGATACTTTTTTTTATTAACCTCATTTCTGTACTATAAAACTTTAAGTTAATGTGATGATTTTCCAAGCTGGAGTTCGAAATTGAACTGTACTATTAGTTTTCTGCTTAAATATCGTTAATGTGACACATCGATTTTAACAACTCTTCCATATCCAGATGAGATCCATAAAAAAAAGAATTTTGAGCCTAATTTACGGACATTTTTTAATAATATATGCTTTTGGTTTTACTGAAAGATATTAAAATTTCTACAATGCAACACGAGAATTGATGTAGCGCAGTTATAAAATTTGGCATAAAAATGTTCGTTCTGTAGTAGGTACTAAATCGTACAACATACGTATGCATAGCAACAGAAAACGAGTTACAGCGTAGGTAGAATTACATCTCAAACACATTCTAAAATTAATAAGATTGCTAACAACAAAGAATGCCTAACACCTACATTATTCCCTATACAAAAGGCATGAATACCATTGAAAACTCTTACCTCAGAGACAAAAAGAAGAAAAGAGAAAATCAATTTTAAAAAATTGTATGCGTTATTCATTTCAATGAAATCTATCTTGTCTATAATTTAGGGTAAATAATATGCCTCCCTTTACGGTTGTATGGGAGGAAGCAACGAACACACATGTGCGTCGCAAGAATTAAGCAGGTATGGGTTCCTGCTCCCTTCTAAAAATCAAATAATCATATATAACATAACGATAATATACACAGTTTTTTTGTAAATATTACATGCATTTAATTTATGTTACTTCAAATATTATTTTAATGTATTGGTAGCACGCAGCCTATGCCCATGCTCCCACATGTATGCCGTCGATTAAAACAAGAAAAATGTCTGAAAAAATGGCAGGAACCGTTTTAATCTGAACGGGGCCAAAGACAACGTGTTTTATTCTATACACCAAATGTCTTGTGAAGACTTATTATTACACTTTTACTAGTAAAAAGGCTATTCTGTAAACATTTCCTCTCTTCACTCAAAATTACGAATTTTTAAGATGTGGCGTGTTTCTTGTGCACTGACGACAAAAAACCGCTCTTGGCAGCGCTGCATTTAACGAGCGATATATCAGTCGCAGGAGTGTTGTGAACTGCGAGGTGGGCGTGGTGCCAGAAGCGGGCGCGTAGTGATAAAGGTGCGATGCAAACGCGGGTGCAGGAAAAGATGGCTCGAGATGGGGGTTATGGGGCTCATAACCTTCCTTCAAAAATGTAAATGCAAAAACATTGTAACATTCGTAAAATATTTGAAAATGATATATTAATTGTAAATGTTTTTGAATATTGGTAATAATTAACATATTTTTGTAAATAGGGGACTTCTTTAGACCTATGAACATCAAACAGCTAACCGAGCCTATTATTTGTTTTCGGCAGTGTCGTTCATACATTTCCTAACACCATCTTTGGACGAACAAGAAAAAAATTATATAAACAAAAAGTAGCATATCTTGGTACGCCATCTTTAGCTACTACCATACCTTTGTTTCAATTGTTTTTAACGGCGGGCGAACTGTTTAATCCTTACCGGACTCAAGCCATTAAGGAATGTTCTAGCTGCATTAAATCGATACAACGTATTTTGAGCTTAACAAAAGTTAAATATGGTTAATTAAAGGTATTCACTGGTATCAAAAATTTATTTTGCTAATAATCGTTTTGATCATCCTCAGAGCTTGGAGCTTTCAGACCGAAAACAAAGTTCTGCAGTATCGAAACGATTAGCAAAATTAATTTTTGGTACCAGTCAACACCTTTAATTAACCATATTTAATTTTTGGAAGCTATCTACCTCCCCAGCGACCTAATTAACTTATCAACAGTATAACGAAAGCGTTTGAGAGGATGTTATTTAAGTAGATATAACCACAAATAGATTCGATTTATAAATGCTTTCCTTAATTATTTAACGCCCTCCTTCAAAACATTTTCCGAAGCCACTCTTGAGCGTGGGCGTGCGCGTGGGCGTGCGCGTGGGCGTGCGCGTGGGCCAGGGGCGTGCGCCAGCGCGCGTGCGGGCGAGAGGGCGTTAAGTGGCGGCGCGAATGCGTGTGCCAGCGCCGGAAAGCACGCGGAACCGAAAGCGGATACGCGAGCGCGGAAGGTGAGCGGTGAGGGAGAGGGGGGCGCCCCGCGTTCGCGCGATTATGAATAGCTACGAACGTGCGCGCCCGGCGCTGGCGGGCTGCGGGATGGGTGGAGGCGAAACAGGGTGACGGGAATTGGTGCGAGCGACTTTACTATTCCCTCGAAGCGTAATGAGTGTTATTAAGTGTATTTACACATATTTCATCCTTATTGTCATTATTATTAATATCCTATATATTCGCTACTAATGATTCTTCGTGTCGGTTAAATTTAAAACCTACTCCAGGTTGCAATCAGCATCCTAAGAAACACATTCAATGACAATACATCGCGTAAAATACGCGCTGTTCCAATTTATAAGTTTCCTGGCATTTTCCAGACGTTTCAATAATCACGGAGTGTGGACAAGTTCTTACGTACATTACTCCAACACGTATAGATTCCACTTATAGATCTTTTCACTCATCATAATTTCCAACGTCTTCGTTACATACACCGAATGGTTGAAAATTAGCACAATGCTTATATTTCATCATCGATCGTTCACTAAATTTAAAAATTCCACAGAAGTGGGTCTCGTATGCTTCGACCGTGTGAGAGCTCCAACACTATTAGGTGCGACCTGTATTTAACTCGCCTCATTCGGCTAATCTCTATTTCCAAACTCTTGTATTTAAGACGTTTCTCTCGTGTTTTGGTTTAGACGTTCTGATGTCATGGCACAGCAATACCTACAAGTAAGCACATTTTTTTCGTCAAGACTCGAATAACAGTATGCGGTGTGTATGCTGTTATTATACGATCAATACGGTATTGTACTATTATTATTATTATTATTATTATTATTATTATTATTTATACTATCGTTGTTGCCTTCCTCTGTGCCTTCCATGCCATCTTTCATTCCGAGGAAGGCTACGGCAAATTACTGCTCTGATCTACATCCTAAAAAAGGAATTTACTTAAGGGTACATCTACTTCCTCACCTACGCTCAAAAAGCGAGTACGATGCTCTGCATTATCAACGTAACTACTATCTGCAGTACACTGAAGGTTGTTAGAGTTATTAAATTTTCTTTCGTCCGGTGAATATTTCGTCTAATACTTTTCTCATTCTCCGCATCTCTTCCTTGATTTTTCCCCTTTCATCTAATTCTCATTTATGAATTGTTAATAGAAGTATTTGGAACACATGCTCTATTATGGAGAGTTTTTCCTCCATAATCATTTGAGTTACTAATTGTATCTTTAGTTCCTCCCGGCTCCCGTATTTCTTCATTTCTATTTGTGTCTTTCCGGGTGAAAAATGTAATTGCCTAAGAAACGTAACTCTAGGTGTTATTGGCAATATTCCATTAAATTCTGTTCAAAAATCAACTTTTTTAAATGATTCTAAAATGGCCTCTCAGATTAATTAAAGATTACATGAGCATAAGCAATGGAATCTGGTACATTTACGACACGTGTATCACTATTAGCCAATGTGCTGACAAATACAAAATGTGAAAGTTTATGATCTGCAAAAAACGGTACATTTTCAATAGGTTTTTGTTAATTTAGGACTCAATTTGGTGAAATAAAAGGTTGAAAAATCTAAAACACGGTCGTAGCATACGAGGCCCACTGCTGTGGAATTTTCAAATTTTTTCAACAATAGAGGATGAAATATACGCATTGAGCACATTTTCAACCATTCGGCATATGTAATGAAGACACTGGAAATTATAATGAGTGGAAAGATCGGAAAGAGAAACTTAACCACGCAAAGAAAAAGGAGTATGACGCAATGTAACGACCAAGACTGGAGTTCGGAAAGGACCAAAATTAAGAAGAAGATCGTTATGATCTGAAGAAACAAATCAAGTAGTATCTGAGAAAACGAAGTTTTATCAGAAAAGATGGAAAACTTCTAGAGAAATAGGTATTCGTGACACAAAACCTGAAAATTCGAAGAACACATGCCGGTCAAAATAAAGAAATTCATAATTCCACACAAGTTTACATTTTTTTCACACACCTTCACAATGCCTTGTATTCTACGTAATTATCAAATTCATTAGTTAATATTTAAAAATCCAATCATTCATTTCATGAAAAACTTCGGCTTTTAACAGTTGGTCACTCACATATTAGTTACTAGAGCTCCAGCAGAATGATTAGCTAAACACTCTTAGTATATTTTGGTCTGTTCATATGACAATTTTTTTTCACAAACGTTTTGGGAAAGCATACATTTTAAAAAGTTTGAATCCCCTCTATGAGCACTACAACTTTTCTAATCATGTCAAAACTACATTCACAATCTAAAAAATGATGAAATAATAAAATGTAATATATTAATAAATGTTGACACATTTCTCAAGAAGCTTCTACGAATGTTGTCTAGGAGTTAGTTGCCTATCGGACATTCAGATCACCAAATCGTCTTCAAGTTCTGTTCTCGGGTATACCCTAACAAGCCGACGCTCCGGATTAAATACGCGTCCCCAATACAATTCCTCCCCCCTCGTCCACATCGGTCGCTCCCGGGCGTGGGCGTAGGCGGGCCGGAGTGGGCGTGTCGTGGGCGCCGAGGTCGCGGGCGTGACCCCGTGCGGAGAGGTGGCTCAACGGGCCACTGTACCTCACCCGCACCCACCGCCGCCTCGCCACTTGCCCCGAACAAATCGGCCCCTGTGTAAGACAAGCCACTTCCCGTCCGCCGCCAACTCGTCAACGCAAAGCAGATGTTGACTCGAGCCGACACCCAACACTCCGCTCTCTCCGTCACTCCGGCACCTCGCCGCACCGACGGCCTGACAGCGCGACCCGCGCCGCCTTTTCGTTCTCTTTGGAGCGAAGAAAAAGTTATAAATACCTCCGGGATCCCACAAAACCGTTCACGACGAAAATCGCGAGTTCGGCCTGAATATACACCGTCGTCACCACCTTACTTGTCAGAATCGATGTAAAGGGGAAGTCTTAACTTCCTTGCCCTCATAACATTTTATGATATTAAACTTTCTCGAACTTGGACCGCCCCGCCCAGTCTTCTGTTAAAGGTTACCCCTCTCCCTCTTCTTCCGCAGGCACGATGGATCTCGCTTAATAATTCAAGGCGCGTTCTCTTACCTTATATATGCCATCCACAAGTTTGGTGATTTCTTCCGTCTCCATGGTGACTACGGAAGGGGGTAGCGCAGCGCAGCAACAGCCAAAAGTCGTCGAAGACGATGCAAGTCGAAATCTTACAGACGATGAGTTTTTTATTTCTTTTTTACACGACTACTTCAGAAAAGACGAAAAAATCGTCCCCTTCTACGCAAGGGGGTAGCGAAAAAATCGAGGAAATAAAATACCAAGAGTGATTTGACGACAATATTTTTTTTTCTTTTTCGTTTGAATCACCACACAGCACTAGTACTAGTCACAGACACTAGAGAACCAACGTGAGCCGCACATATCGCTAGAGGGGGGCGAGGGGGCGGCCGGTATGAACGGGCCGGAGGGGCGACACGGAGCACGCGAGGGCACGGCGCAGCGACAGACGTAACAACGTCCCTGGAGCACACGGCGCGCCGAGCTCGCTCGACACGGGACTGGCGGCGCTCGCCGCGCCGCGCCTCGCCGCGCCGGCCCGCGGGACACGCAGGCCGAGGGGAAGGGGAAGGGCAGTGACGGCGGCCGCCGCCGCGCGGCGCCACTGTACGTCGCCCCGCACCCCCGTCCTGCCGCGCCCCGCCACGACGGGGAGGACGGATTTACTTATTTATGAGGATGGATTCGTACGAATGGCATGTATGAGACATTTTAATATAATAATAATAATAATAATAATAATAATAATAATGATAATGATGATGATGTAAAGTACGAGTATATATGCCACTAAAACTATGTTACATTAAAACACAAATATTAATTAGATTACAAAACAAATTCAAATTCATATGTCAAAAGAAACAACAAAAGCAAAACATTTTCTCATCTTCTCTTTCGTCTTCTCCTTCTTCTCTTTCTTCTTCTTCTTCTTCTTCTTCTTCTTCTTCTTCTTCTTCTTCTTCTTCTTCTTCTTCTCTTCCTTCAAGAATTATGCTCCTAGACGTGAACGATTGCGGCCCCTCTGAAAAATTTGAAATGGGTATCGTAGTCCCCCGCAATAAAATATCCCCCCTCTGGTTCCCTCCTTTTTTAATCTGCAATTTAGGTAATTTTTATACGAGATTTGGGGGAGAGTCTCTTCAAGCTCACTGGCATCCCTGTAAATGGTTCAACATAAAATCTATTGTATTTATTAATTATATCTATAATGTTATAATTTAATTTTATTTGTAGTTGATTTTATTGACTCACTAGAGGGCGGATATGTTTTTGCTTGCGCACGTCTACGATTAGTAATTAACATCTTTTCCGTCATCATTTTCTATATCAATATCTCTTTCGATCTTCCAACAACTCTTCGCCCCGTAAGTCACAACTACATTACTGATCGTTGAATTCTGTCTTAACCTATTTCTTCTCATTCTCTGAATTATTCTATATTTTCATGTATTTCGCATCCACTTGTATCCAATGTATATTCAGTAGTTCCATGATATCTTCGTTTCGGATTTATTATTAAATTTACAAATAAATCTAATTTTTATGTCTGAAATTGGCTTCTGTATGTCTTTTCTGTTATCAACGATTCATTGACACAAACAAAAACTCGAGCAATCATTTCCTAATAAAATTTTATTTTGATATCTTTCCTAAGCATTTTGTTTATTATTCCATTGAATAATGGACTTTTTTTAAATTTAGATACGTTACTAATAGATACTGGGGTCCTCTGTATGCTCTGATGATCAACTCATTTACAATATAGTGAACTGCTTAGCGTGGAGTCACACTGAGAACGTGGATTTTTATTTCGCTTCCACACATTTTGACAAACTCCATATGAAGTGAGGACCGTTAAGTGTTTTGGCGGCGAAGCACGGAACTAGTTCACTGAGGAGGTCTACAGACAGCCAATGAGTTACCACATGGTTGCAACTCACTCACCAGAGCGTGTTAATACTGGACTTCTTATGTAATTGCTCCGGTAGGATTAGTATCTTAGATATTAATCTTTCTTAATTGGAGTTGAGACAGTTCCGCGGGCACTGATAGTTTTTGATAACATCAGATTTTTTCAATTAATCACCTAAAAAGCCATGTCTTCGGAGAAATAGTAGAACGATAAGGAATATTATACTGTAAGTCATATTTGACGTAGTGTTTTGGTGCATTCATTGGTGATAAGCCTCATGTCGATTAATCTGGCTGAGCAGGCTACGGTGGAAATGGGCAAAGTGGAAAGAAGCTACCACATTTTTAAATCATCTGTATATTGTTTAGAACTGGGAAACCTAATATTCTACCTATGAACTGAATTAAGTAAATTGGTTTATACACAAGCTTCCCGTATTTGCCATAACTTCTTTTCCATTAACTAAAATGTTTGCAATTACTCTAGTTTACTAGTAAATAAGTAAAATACTTTCTGGAAGGAAAATGCAACTACATCATTAATGATATATTAATAAAGATTTATTAATTACATATTAATTCTTTTTCAGATACAGGCCAACTCGAACCATGCGTGCATCCTGCTTCAGCAGGTGCAAATACCTTTATCTGCGGAGGGGAGGATCAGCATTTCAGCTGAATCATGATTTTTACCTCCCAAGGTTGTTAGTCCTGGGGGTATGGGTGAGGAGATGATTATAGTGAAGGATGAAAGGACGTCACACGACATACGTCACACAAAAGGACATACATACACGAATACACCCATGCCCGAGGCGTGACTCGAACCCGCGGTCTTTTGGTCCGAAATCGCTGCGACACTTCTGCCCTAACGATCTCAGTCATTTTGACCAACTTATATCTTAATTATTATAATTATATAATTAATAAATATAAAAATTATATTATTATTTTTAATTATTAATAAAATTAGATTTCTTTTTAATCACATTAATAAAAATAATTAAATTAATTACATTCGACCTACTAATTATATCATATTTTATTTTTAAACAGTCGCTACATGGCTTGGAGAATCTCTTCCGCAAATATACATTTCCCGAAATTGTCGCTGATAAAAAGACGAGAAGTCATGGACTGAACATATTTAAGGAAACAAAATATGTTATTACATAAGACTCAAGGGCCTCTTTCAAAAAATCCAGAAGATCCATATCCTCCCCCGTCCTTCCCCTGCTAGGTTTATGGGATTGAGATGGAATTCGAGGTAGTAAAAGAAGCCAACCACGTCAGAAGACCATCGCGATGACCAGGTCTTGCGCGGGTCTGGAACCCACACTCTTCGGCTTCACTTACAGTGCACGTACATCGAGACCGGCAAAGTCGAGCTCACTGGAATGTAATGCCTGTTTCGCACCAACCCAAACTTATTGGTCGCTTGTCTGAGTTAAAGGGAAGTACTGACGGCCGCCACGCCGCGGCGCCACTATACGTCGCCGCTGGTTCTCCCTCACAAATCAGATAGTCGCGGAGAAGTTTGGATCAGCCCAAAAATACGCTGCACCCGAATTTGAATCGCACTCACAATAAATTTAGACTATTTTTCTTGAAAGGAATATTATTTAATCACAACATGACTTTTAGTATTAAAAACTAATATCGCTAATAAGTTAGTCTGCCATTGGATATATCGAATTACTGAATAATTTTAAGAAAGATTTATTCCTCTGGAAACGCTCTTTTTCTTCAACAAGAAAACATTTATTGTTTGAAGACTGCATTCAGGTAATTTGAAGTTACGATTTAAACATCAAACATATTTAACAAAGATTTTTCTGTAATTCGTAGAACGTCCCAAATTATTACGGAACTATTGACACTAGAATGCGTGAAACAGAGTATGACCTTCATGATCACCCCTACCTTCATCGCTGCAGAGGATTGCGAAATCAAAAAATCATTGTGATCACCTGTCCAAGATATGGAAGGACAAAGACGGTAGCCAGGGGTGAATCAATAAAGTATTGAAAGGGGATTTCAGTATAATAACGCAATAATAACAGAGGTCAACAGCATTTTTGTGACAAGGAATGTAAATATGTTATTAGCTTATACTTCGACACTCAAGTCCAAAATGAAATCAGTTTTTGCCTATCGCACACAGTTTTCTTGTTACACGCTACTCTACGGAAATGCTTGAAAATGCTACATATTAGAATGCATTAACAAAAGGCAGAATTAATAGTAAAGGAAGAGAAAAAACATTTTTTTGTTCAAATAGTATTGGGAATAACCTAATGCAATTTTATTGTCACAATAGTGAAACATTAAGTGATTCGCATTTATAATATGGAAAAACAATTGGAAGCACTATAAAGTGCAAAAGTAGATCTTTAGTAAAACCTTTCTACAATAAATAAAAAAAATCTTCAAAGAACAAATTTTACAAATGTATCTACACTGCTCAAAAACAACAAAAATTATTTCGTATAACAACACTACAATGATTGAAATATTTTAACAAATATTTTACCTAAACTGCCTAGTTCCCTGTGTACTACCCGAAATTCCTCGAGATTTTAGAGCGCATCAAGAAATCGGGGACGCCAATGTTGTGGACTACACAGAGAAAGAGCCGAATTTCGCCACCACAAAGTGAACTCGTTCTTTATCTCATATTTTTTAACTGTCGTTTGTGGGAAATAAAAAGTGCGAAAATCATACGCTGCTTTCTATATCATAACACGTCCAGAGCATTAGGAAGCAATGAAGCATGCAAGTTTTAAGGATAGCACACATTCTCGCCACACAAAAACAGGCCGTGTGTATTTGGACCTGTGTTTTCCCTCCCGACTAGACTGTTGAGTCTCCCAGTTTGCACAGCCATCTGAAGAGAGCCTGTTTATACGAGGTGTTCAAGACGTGTAGGCGAAAAGAGGTTGTCAACTGGAGGTAGAGCTTGGCAATAAGATGAATCTGTGCTGCCGAGGTTACAGTGCGGAATTTGGTGGAACTAAATAACCAAGGGCTCCCTCTCGCATACGTAATGGTACGTGCAAGAATGACTTCAGGAAATTTTAAGTGGAGTAGGAATGATACAAAATTAAGGAAACCATATTTTAATAAAATATTCCAGTATATATTATATACTGGTTTATATATATCCAATGGTAAGTAGTACTTCTTCTTCTGGAAAGAGTTAACATCTACACTAGAAGAAATTCATCAAAATATAAGTCACTAGAAATGTTCGTTAATTTTATATTATTTAATTTATTATACAATAATTAATAATATTGTTTTTATTATATAGTTATAAATAATACATCATTTTAAAGAATATTTACAATAGTTTCAAAATATTTGTTAATCACAATTTTCTGGAGTCCCCCTCAGTTGCTTGAAAGATAATTGTTCGCATTAGAAATATGTAGTACACTGTCATTTACTTCTTTGTTCTTGGCAAAGTATACAACGGTTATATTTATTAGAATAAAATTATCTATTATCAATTAGAATAAAAACTTAAGTTAACTATGATGAATTGCCTTTCATACCTAATACAATTGACGTTAACCGCATT